TTCATATCTTCTTTGATTTGTGAATAAAAAAATTTCAGGCTAAAAAAAAAATTCCAATAGAACAATGTGGCAATTGAAATTTCTAACAAAAGCATTCAAACCGAACATACGAATCTATACTTAATTGTATACATTTTTTTTTTCTATTTATACAACATTATATTAGTGTTGACTCCAAATTAATTATAAAAATAAAAGGGGAATTCACTAATAAGTCTCATATTTTGGACTTGTAATCTATATAGTCTCATGTTTTTTCTTGTGATCCATTTAGTCATTTTGGATGTGTAATGACTCATTTGCCCGCCACATTGGAGTGTCACATTTAGAAAAAAAAATACACTAAAGAGTTTTTTAGTGTTACATCATACCCGTTACATTAGAGTGTCACATTTAGAAAAAGTATACTAAAGAGTTTTTAATTTTTTTAAAGTATCACATCATACCCGCCACATTGGAGTGTCACATGTCACGTTTGGAAAAAGTACACTAAGGAGTTTTTTTTTTTTGGAAGTGTCACATCATACCTCTCACGTCGTCACGTTTGGAGAAAGTACACTAAGGAGTTTTTAATTTTTTTTAGAGTATCACATCGTACTCGCCACGTTGTCTCATTTGAGAAAAGTACACTAAGGAGTTTTTATTTTATTTTTTTGAAGTGTCACATTATACTTGTCACGTTGTCACGTTCGAGAAAAGTACATTAAAGAGTTTTTATTTTTTTTGAAGTGTCACATAGTGTCACATCATACCTCTCACGTCGTCACGTTTGGAGAAAGTACACTAAGGAGTTTTTAATTTTTTTTAGAGTATCACATCGTACTCGCCACGTTGTCTCATTTGAGAAAAGTACACTAAGGAGTTTTTATTTTATTTTTTTGAAGTGTCACATTATACCTGTCACGTTGTCACGTTCGAGAAAAGTACATTAAAGAGTTTTTATTTTTTTGAAGTGTCACATCATATCTGTCACGTTGTAACGTTTGAGAAAAGTACAGTAATAATTTTTATTTTTTTGAAGTGTCACATCATACCTGCCACTGTCACATTTGGAAAAGTACACTAAGAAGGAATTATTTTTTTTGAGTAGAAGTTTTGGAATGTCACATCATACTCATCACGTTGTCACATTTAGAAAAAAATACACTAAAGAATTTTTTAATTTTTTTGGAGTGTGATATTAATACATGTCATATTAGAGTATCACATCATACCTGTCACATTAATAAAAAGGTATAACTGTCTACCAAAAACACTATCAAAATAAAAAATAGGACCACACGAAAACAAAGTCTCCACTAATAGGACTTAACAGATCAATAGAAAAAATTTGGGACTCATTGAAGTACTTGTTTGTGAGATAAGATTTATTGGTAAATATCTCAAAATAAAATTAAAAAACACGTAAATAGGCGTAAAAACAAGAGGTGTTACCAAAATGTATTCAAATTGTAATCTCCACAATAAATGGAATGAAATTAATTCACATTTTAATTTTTATGAAATGTTTATGTATTTTGTCAACATCAAATTAACATTATTGTACATTGTACAAAATATTTATACAATATATCAAATTAAGGTTATTTACATTAAGACTTTTTTACTTATTACCGAATATTATTTTACTCCATTATCTATGAAAACGTATATTATGACCCCTTAACTATAAAAATATACGACTTTCTGTTGGTATTTTTTCATAATAATACAAGAAAAATATATAAAATGAATTAAATAGAAATGACAAAAAAATTATTATTATTATTATTATTATTATTGATTATTAAAGAATGAAATATACAATAAACTATAAAACTAAAAAAAAAAAAAACACAAGAATGAACTAGATTATACCAGGGAACATATTACAAGATGAATTCAAATGGACATATAAAATAATATATGAGAAATTATTTAAATTTAGAATTTTGAAGAACAAAAGATAAAGGATGCAAACCAAAACCTGTGTGATATCACAGTTTCCTTAAAAAAAATTCACCGCCTCCTGGTAGATGCTGGAGGTACGCCGGCATCTATCTCCCAAGATACGACGATCGAAACCAGCTAATGCAGAAGCACCATCTGAATAGCTTCGGCGAACTTGACAATGGATGCACTCTATAACATCTGCCTCTTAATTAGCTGTTAATTTTATGATTAATCTTAATTATGTCTTTACACGTGCATTTTATGTTTATTGATATGTTAAGTGCACCATGTTTCGTTTGACAAATACGTTAATTTGTGAAAAAGACCTGATGATTTGTTAAATTGTAAAATTGCCAATTAACTAATGAACTAGGTGGGTAGAGCCTAATTCCCCTTAAAGTAGGGTTCAGCTAACTTAGGTGACAGTAAGGAATAATCTAATTAATTAGATAATTAATTCAAGTGATGTGGTTCTAATTTCATTAATTCACATTAATTAAAAATTAGATAAGTTTTATATCTATGATGAACTCAAATAAGAGAGAGAGGGATATAATCTGAGCGAGAGAGAGAGTATTAGTATTCTAGAGAACAATGAGAGAAGAAGAGAAAGAAAGGGAGAAGAAGAGAACTTGAAGCAACTTCACTAAATTAACTCTTTGAGGTAAGAATTCTTCCTAATTTCTTGCATGAGAATAAGTTTCATCTTGAACTCATGGAATTTAAGGAGAGAATGAGGGATTGGGTAGTATAAGTTGTGTTACAAACCCTAACAAGAGGAATTCTCCAAATCTTGGCATGAATAAAGCTCACCTACTTGGTCTTGCATGATTGTAAGTTAGATTTCCATGGTTTTGTTGAAACAAAGAATTCTCATATGCTTAGGTTTTGTTTTCTTTTCAACTTTAAAATTGTTCATGTGATTGTGGGACTTAGGTTTGAATTTAAAGTTCTATTCTTGGTTTGAACTTGGTTTTTGTCTATACACCATGTTTGATAACTTTTGGGCTTTGATTTGGTCAAATTGGGTTTGAGTTTTGAAGATGGAGAGCTCACAAAAACATAGCAGCATTTTCGGTTTTGAACACCCAGAACCGCACATGTAGCAGAGGTGACCGCATGTGCAGGAGGCACTGGCGCACGTGCGGCAGGTAGGCTCGCACGTGCGGAGAACAGGGGAAATGTTTGGAGCATTTTGCATAAATTGCACTTGCTAGCACACGTACAGTGAGAGTCCCACACATGCGGTCAAGGGGCTTCGCACGTGCGGCTGTTTTGTAGTCTCGGTTTCATTTTTCTTCTTCGTTTACCCCACTTCCAAACCTCCGTTAGCGTGATTCGCATCCATATTTGGCGTACATTTGCATTGCACATGCATTTAAATAGAGTTAAGACCAATTCCTGAATAATGAAAATAATTTGTTGATTGTATAGTGAATTAAGTGTGCTACGCTTATATTTGTCTAGGTAGGTCAAACGCTACGTCCCAGTCACGTGTATCTCAGAGCCAACTTTGAGTAATAATGTTGTAAAGATATGTTTAACTTAACGTATTTCTTTCCTGCTTTATATACTCTGTTCTGACGTGCTTTTTCTTATGTTTATGAATGATGATCCTATTTTTCTTACATTGTATGTCGTGGCATCCTTAGCACCTGTTTACATGATTACAGAGATCTCTATCAGTTCCAATTCCTAGAACTCCTGTTTATTATGTTGATGGCCATCATATCTACATACCGGTCTTTATGACCGCCTGCTCGGTTTTCCAGACCGCTTGTGTTAGCTTGCTATGGGATGTACAACGTATACCTTTATGCTTTCTATATAAGATAAGAATCTGTTCAGTTTGTGATTTGCCTTACTTCATGATCATCATTCAAAACCCTTTACACAGTTGTTATTCACTGGGCTTTAGCTCACATTATATATATATATATATATGTAGGTTATCTAGTTCAGGAGGGGATGTAGTAACGGTAATCTTGCCTCCCTTTTGGTCAAGCTACCTTTTGTGTCTCACGGCGAGATTCCTATTTGTTGAAGCACGTTGGTGGTCCAGTGTGCACCCTTTTGAAATTACTCATGTATTATGGGCGGTTGCCGTTGGTATTATATTCGTGGTTGATGGGAATGTCTCCTCTCTTTTAGTTGTATTTTGATAAACTTGTGCTACCTTGATGTACATATGTATATATATATATAGATATACATATCTATAGTAATTCATTTTGTCTCATGTGAGTTCACAACTCGTTGGACGTTTTACTTTCTTATATCTTCGCTTCCGCTTGCCCCGTTTGTTTAATTTATACAATTAGGCCTTTGGTAATCATAGATTATTGGCCAGTTACAATACCAAACTTTTAGAGGTGGGCTTGGGTCGTGACAGAGTGGTATCAGAACATGAGTTATACTGCACACATACGTCTAACTGAGTTATAAGATGCCCTAGAAAAGAAATTAGGGCATTTTATTTGCATGTGTGAGTGTGTGTGGGTTCTTTATGTGCCCTATGTGATAACAATGCAAGGGTAAACTCTATGTATCCTATGTTTTTTATCACTCTGTTTATATATAGCCCAATGGAAAAGACAAGACCTACAGAGACATCTAAGTCTTCTGATGCAAGAATGAATCGGTTAGAGCGAATGGTAGAGCTATTGACAGAAGTGTTAAGACAACAACCGAGATAGCCTTTTCCACTTCCTCCTCCGCCACCAATTCTAGTGGAGCCATTCAATAATGGTGACATTATTACCTTGACCCAGAAATTTAACAAATTGAAACCGCCTACTTTCCCGGGAGGACTTGAACCGTTGAAAGTTGAAGCCTGGATACTAGAGATTGAAAAGTTATTTGAACTATTTCCATGTACCGAAGAGAAAAAGGTTTTGCTAGCAACCTTCACTCCGCAAGAGGAAACGAGAAGGTGGTGGATGTTTGTTCGAGATCAACTGACAGCAATGACTTGGGCAAAGTTTAAAGAGGCCTTTTATGAAAAATATTTTCCATAGTGTGTAAGGGATCGGAAAGTAACAGAATTTGAGCAGTTAAAGTAGTGTACCATGTCGGTAGCGAAGTATGAAGCCAAATTCACAGAGCTTGTGCGATATGCGCCACATATGGTAAATACCGATTACAAGAAAGCTAGAAAGTTTGAAGGCGGATTAGATGTTGAGGTTCTTGATCAAATTAATGTACTCAAGTTAAAAAAATATGTTGATGTCGTAGATAAAGCCATCATGGCTAAAGGAAATGTTGCTACAGTAAGACAAGCAAAGGCACCGATGATTGAATTGAAGGGTAAAAGACCGGGATCCAATTTCAAGAAGGGTCGGAACAACTTTAACACTTCACCGAACAAGAGGCAAAATATAGGATCATCTACTAACTCAAGCCAAGGGAACAATACACCCATCTCCCAGAGTGTGGAAAAAGACATAAGGGAGTTTGTTGCAAAATTTCTGGCACGTTTTCGGTGTGGAAAAACAGGCCATATGATCAAGGATTGTCCTTTAGTGTCCCAAAGCACAAGCCAGCCCCGGGCCAGTTCAACTGCATCAGTATCAACACCAAGGGTAAATTTGAAAGTAGCTACGGGGAAGGAAACTTTAAAGCAAGGATGAGTTTTTGCATTGGTACCGGGTGATGTGCAGACGACAGAGACGGTTGTGTCAGGTATTCTTCCTGTCTGTTCTCAGGATGCATATGTTTTGATTGATTCGGGGTCGACACGCTCCTTTGTGTCCTATGCATTTGCTTCAAAATTAACTCAAATATTGGAACCAATGCATCATTTGTTAGCTGTATCTTCTCCAACTGGGAAGTCTATGACTTGCGTGTATATGTATCCTGCATGTGATGTTAATGTTAGGGATATGACTTTATATGTTGATCTATTGTATTTAAATATCATGCATTTTGATGTAATTCTGGGAATGGATTGGTTATCGAGGTATTGTGCTACTATTGACTGTGTGACTAAACAAGTTGTGTATCGTTTGTCTGAAGTGCCTGAATTTACATTTAACGGGGATGGTATCGTATCTCCCACATATTTAATTTCCTCCATGAAAGCAAATAAATTGATTAACAAGGGTTGTAAGGGATTTCTATGTTTGGTGTTAACGGTGCCAACTACTGCTAAACTTGAAGTAGATAACATTCCTGTGGTGAGAGATTTTTCAGATGTGTTTCCAGATGATTTGCCGGGACAGTTAGTTGATAGAGAGATCGAGTTTACTATTGAGATAGTACTAGGTACCCAACCAATTTCTAAGACCCCATATCGGATGTCGACTATTGAGTTGAAAGAATTGAAAACTCAGTTACAAGAATTGCTGAACAAGAAATTTATCAGGCCCAGTACGTCTCCATGGGGTGCTCCAGTGTTATTTGTTAAAAAGAAGGATGGAACCCTAAGGCTATGCATTGATTATCGGGAATTAAACAAGGTGACAATAAAGAACAAGTACCCGTTACCACGCAATGACAATCTGTTTGACCAACTACAAGGAGCACAGGTATTTTCAAAAATTGATCTGCAGTCTGGATATCATCAGTTAAAAGTTAAAGCTGAAGATGTGGAGAAAACTGCTTTTCGAACCAGATACGGCCATTATGAGTTCCTTGTTATGCCTTTTGGATTACAAACGCACTAGCTACTTTTATGGATTTAATGAACAGAGTTTTTAAGTCGTTCCTTGATGAATTCATTGTGGTTTTTATCGATGACATCTTGATTTACTCCAAAAGCAATGAGGAACATGAATGCCACTTGAGACTTACTCTTCAAACGTTGAGGGAGAGGAAACTGTATGCTAAATTGTTAAAATGTGAGTTCTGACTAGATAGCGTGATGTTTTTGGGACATATGATACCGAAAGATGGTATCTCAGTTGATCCACAGAAGACAAAGGCTGTTGTAAATTGGCCGAGACCAATGAATGTGACAGAAGTCCATAGTTTCTTAGGCCTGGTTGGATACTATCGCAAATTTGTAAAAGACTTCTCAAACATTGCCTTGCCACTTACTCAATTGACACAAAAGGGGGTACCATTCGAATGGACTGACCGAAGAAAAGTAACTTTTCACAAATTGAAGACAAGTCTTGTGACAGTACCGATTCTCACTCTACCCTCTGGCACGGATGGCTTTACTATTTATAGTGATGCCTCTTATAAAGGCTTGGGGTGCATGTTGATGCAAAATGGAAAGGTAATTGCCCATGCTTCCTGTCAGCTAAGACCGTATGAGAAGAGTTACCCAACTCAAGATCTGGAACTAGTTGTAGTGATTTTTGCATTGAAAATTTGGCACCAATACCTGTATGGGGCGACGTGTGAGGTGTATACGGATCACAAAAGTCTTAAATACTTCTTTACCCAGAAAGAGCTAAACACGAGATAGCGTAGATGGCTAGAACTAATTAAAGATTATGATCTGCAAATTATGTACTATCCTGGAAGAGCTAATACGGTGGCCGATGCTCTTAGTCGAAAATCAATGAAAAACTTAGCTTGTTTACTTACCAGGCAGGAAACAATATTGGATGAACCAGTAATATTTGAAGAGATCAAAGAAAGACAATTACAGGATGAATTCTTAAAGAAAATAGTGGATGAACAGGATTCCAAACCTAGATCGGGGTTCAGTTTTGAAAATGACATTCAAGTTTCAGGGACGGTTATGTGTACCAAATGACGGTGATTTGAACAAACAAATCCTCCAAGAAGCCCACAGTTCCAAATTCTCTATCCATCTAGGAAACACAAAAATGTATCAAGACCTAGAGAAGAATTTTTGGTGGCCAAAAATGAAAAGGGAAATCACGGAATTTGTGTCCAGATGTTTGCAATGTCAGCAAGTTAAGGCAGAACATCAACGAGCTGTAGAATTACTTCAGTCATTACCAATACTGGAGTGGAAATGGAAACATATCACAATGGATTTCGTGGTTAGACTGCCTTGCTCCAGTAGAGGTATGGATTCTATTTGAGTAATTGTAGACCGATTGATAAAATCTGCTTATTTTTTACTTGTTAAAACGACATATGATGTGGATAAATTGGCTGCTCTGTATATGAATGAAATTGTGAAATTGTATGGAGTCCGTATATCGATTGTATTTGATAAAGATCTGAAGTTCACTTTGAGATTTTGGCAAAGTCTACAAAAGGCAATGGGAACTGAATTGAGGTTGAGCAGCGCATACCATTCGTAAACTGATGGCCAATTGAAAAGGACAATCCAGACGCTAGAGGACATGCTACGTATGTGTGTACTAGATTTTCAAGGAAATTGGGAGACACATTTGCCTTTGGTTGAATTTCCATTCAACAACAGTTATCACTCGAGTTTTGGCATGGCACCATACGAGGCTCTCTATGGCAGAAAATGTCAGTCACTAATTTATTGGGTTGAGCATGGAGATAGACCGTTATTGGCACTCGAACTTGTGCAAGAGACTATTGAGAATGTAAAGTTGATCCAACAACGGTTGAAAACAGTACAAAGCCGACAGAAAAGCTATGCTGATGTGCGTAGACGGGAGAGAGAATATGAAGTAGGCAACTATGTCTTTATCAAAGTCACGCCAATGAAGGGACACATTCATTTTGGAGCCAAAAGTAAGTTAGCACCTCGATACATCGAACCGTATGAGATCATTGAGAAACTGAATCCAGTGGCATACCGGATAGCTCCACCTCCGAACATGGAGCACAAGCATAATGTTTTTCACATTTCCATGTTAACAGAAACCCTTCTAGATCCTCAACAAGTTATTGAACCTACTCAGATACTTGTGAGGGATGATTATACATATACAGAACTGTCCATTCGGATTGTTAGCCGTCGTATTAAGAAGTTGAGAAATAAAGAAATTCCATTGGTAATGGTGGATTGGCAGAACCACAGTGGCTTGTATGCAACTTGGGAAAGAGAAGTAGATATGCAAGAGAAATGCCCTGAACTTTTTCCGTTAGACCCTGCACTCTTCATTAAAGAAGATACTTGAGTTTGGAGGACCAAACGTCCTAAGGGGCAGAGAGTGTAACACCCGCATCTTAATTAGCCGTTAATTTTATGATTGATCTTAATTATGTCTTTATACGTGCATTTTATGTTTATTGATATGTTATGTGCACCATGTTTTGCTTCACAGATACGTTAATTTGTGAAAAAGACCTGTCTAATTCGTTAAATTGTAAGGTTGCTAATTAAGTAATGGACTAGTTAGGTAGAGCCTAATTCCCCTTAAAGTAGGGTTCAACTAACTTAGGTGACAGTAAGGAATAATCTAATTAATTAGATAATTAATTCAAGTGATGTGGTTCTAATTTCATTAATTCACGTTAATTAAAAATTAGATAAGTTTTATATCTATGATGAACTCAAATAAGAGAGAGAGGGATATAATCTCTGTGTGTGTGAGAGAGAGAGAGAAAGAGAGAGAGAGTACTCTAGAGAACATGGAGATAAGAAGAGAAAGAAAGGGAGAAGAAGAGAACTTGAAGCAACTTCACTAAATTAACTCTTTGAGGTAAGAATTCTTTCTAATTTCTTGCATGAGAATAAGTTTCATCTTGAACTCATGGAAGTTAAGGAGAGAATGAGGGATTGGGTAGTGTAAGTTGTGTTACAAATCCTAACAAGAGGAATTCTCCAAATCTTGGCATGAATAAAGTTCACCTACTTGGTCTTGCATGATTGTAAGTTAGATTTCCATGGTTTTGTTGAAACATAGAATTCACATATGCGTAGGTTTTGTTTTCTTCTTAACTTTAAAGTTGTTCATGTGACTGTGGGACTTGGGTTTGAATTAAAAGTTCTATTCTTGGTTTGAACTTGGTATTTATCTATACACCGTATTTGATAACTTTTGGGCTTTGAGTTGGTCAAATTGGGTTTGAGTTTTGAAAAGGGAGAGCTCACAAAAACATAGCAGAATTTTTGACTTTGGACACCCAGAACCGTACATGTGGCAGGGGTGACCGCACGTACTGGAGGCACTGGCGCACGTGCGGTGGGTAGACCCGCACGTGCAGAGAACAAGGGAAACATTTGAAGCATTCTGCATAAATTGCACTTGCTAGCACACGTGCGGCGCACGTGCGACTGTTTGGTAGCCTCGGTTTCATTTTTCTACTTCATTTACCCTACTTCTAGGCCTCCGTTAGTGTGATTCGCATCCATATTTGGTGTACATTTGCATTGCACGGGCATTTAAAGAGAGTGAAGACCAATTCCTAAATAATGAAAATAATTAGTTGATTGTATAGTGAATTAAGTGTGCTATGCTTATATCTGTCTGTGTAGGTCAAACGCCACGTCCCAGTCACGTGCATCTCGGAGTCAACTGTGAGTAACAATGTTGTAAAGATATGTTTAACTTAACGTATTTATTTCCTGCTTTATATACTCTGCTCTGACGTGCTTTTTCTTATGCTTATGAATGATGATCCTATTTTTCTTACACTGTATGCCATGGCATCCTTAGCACATGTTTACATGATTGCAGAGATCTCTGTCAGTTCTAATTCCTAGAACTCCTGTTTATTATGTTGATGGCCATCATATCTACGTACCGGTCTTTATGACCGCCTGTGTTAGCTTGCTATGAGATGTAGCACGTATACCTTTATGCTTTCTATATAAGATAAGAATCTGTTTAGTTTGTGATTTGTCTTACTTCATGATCATCATTCAAAACCCTTTACACATTTGTTATTCACTGGGCTTTAGCTCACGTTTATATATATATATATATATGTGCAGGTGATCCAGTTCAGGAGGGGACGTAGTAATGACGATCTCGCCTCTGTTTTGGTCAAGCTACCTTTTGTGTCTCACAACAAGGTTCCTATCTATTGAAGCACATTGGTGGTCCAGTGTGCACCCTTTTGAAATCACTAACGTGTTATGGGCGGTTGCCACTGGTATTATATCTGTGGTTGATGGGAACGTCTCTCCTCTTTTAGTTGTATTTTGATAAACTTGTGCTACCTTGATGTACATATGTATATATATAGTGATGCATTTTGTCTCATGTGAGTTCACAGCTTGTTGGACGTTTTACATTCTTATATTTTAGCTTCCGCTAGCCCCGTTTGTTTTGATTTATAAAGTTAGGCCTTTGGTAATCCCAGATTACTGGCCGGTTATGATACCAAACTTTTAGGGGTGAGTTTGGGTCGTGACACACTCTCTCTAACAAGAACCAAAGAAAGGGCTAGCAAAAGAATATAGGAAAAACTTTCTTTGGTGTAAAATAAAATCTCCAACTTTTTATCTCAAAACACCACCTCCATTTTCCATCAAAAATCTCTCTAAAATTCTTTTTTCAAGTTGAAAGGGAAAGACCTCTATTTATACAAGTAGGGGAATCCCTAGCCATAAAGGTTATACATCAATAGGGCCATCAAATGCCATTAACTATGGCCATTAACCAAGGCCATCAACTCTAGCCATTAGGGCTAGAGTTACAAAGGTTAAAAACATATGGCCATTAACATGGTCATTAACTCCATCATCAAAAGATGAGAGTTACAAAGGTCTAAACCTCCCATGTGCTTAATGTATACAAATAAATATGTATACAATGATGTTTGAATAAACCAACTAGATGAGTCACAAAATGGATACTAATGTTGGGTCACA